TTGATTTTTAAGCAACACCAATGTGTAGGAATTATTTTTGATTCGATTCATTTAAATTACCATAAATTAATATTAAGTATATTTCTTATGGTTATGCTGTCCGATTCTTTTTAAATCAAATATAATAACCTAATTTTCTTTATGTTGACTTTCCCTAATCATTCAATAATGTTACAGGAATTTTTTGACAACGTGGATCAGATGTCGCTAAAGGTCATTAAATGCACGATGATTAACTTAATTGGTCCGTAATAAAATTTAATTAATCTTGCACCGATTTTCCTTGCAAATTCATACTTAAGTACTTATTTTCGTAAAAATCTTAATAAAAACTGTCCGTTATTTTTGCTTTTACGTCTGTATTTTTTTTTTAATTATAGTAATTACCGACATGCTAAATCCTTTCCAAAAATGCCTCGATTACAAATTATGTTGTTCATCCGATATATAAATTATGATTTTGGAGATTTCAAAATTTTTTAAAACTTGACAAATAGATCTATATACCGGGTGTATGGAAAATGGCGGATTAACTCTCCGGTGCACTTTTAACAATCAACTGGTGAGTCTGGAAAAAATAGTAAAAAAATTACTAATAACAAAACTTTTAGTTATTTGGCCCAAGACCAAGTTTAGTTATCATTTCAGTTAGAATGTACAAAGATATGATTGTGTTGTTTTTGTCATAATTTGATAAAATTCCATTTGACAAAAAACAATGTTTGCCTGATATAAAGCAAAGGTACAAATCAACAAAAATCGAGTGAGCAGTTAAAAATGTTTGACGTACCAAAAATTGTCAAGGTTTTCAAAATCAGCCTTATCTTAGCAGGTGCTAATAACGCCCACCCACCCTCTCTTTTCTTAGAAGGTATCTCATTAACCAAAATCAGTATTATCTTAGCAGCTACTAACCCCGCCCACCCACCCTCCATTTTCTTAGAGTGTATACCATTTGCCAAAATCAGTTTTAGCTTAGCAAGTACTGCTGACTAATTTTTTTAATCCATTTTCCAGACACCGGTATTAACATGCTTTTTTTTAAAGGGAATTAAAACGGTTTACTTCAGTTATATTTGCTATATAAAATATCGTTTCATCAACTACCTGCTTATATATTACTTAAAGATTTTAAATTAATAGCAATATTTCATAAATATATGTAGTGCTTTATATATATTTACGTGATGTCTCACACGTCATTATATACATATAAATATGACGAATTAATATGTACCGGTGATTATTAATTATTTAAGCAAATGTTTATATTGGCAGTTCTGAATTATTGGCAGCAATGCTAATATGTTATTTGACAGTTGTTACTTTTGACATGAGACGCGTAACAAATGCGATGAGAATCTGAGGAGCGATTAAATATACCTCCAAGTACCGATGTTGCCAAATTGTGCCCTGCATGTTGTACCTACATTACTGTCAACTGTAAATATAGTAGATAATTAACGGCCGTACATTTGAAAAAGTCATCAGGTGGGCTTTGCTTTTTTCATAGGAAAAAACCTAGCAAAAAACGTATATGTTTTATTAATACATACTGTTGTGCATAATTGACACTTTCGCGTTTTCAGCTATCATCGAATAAATATTAGGTTTATTGTAGGCAACTTTGTAATGTTTCCAAAAAATCAAAGCCAGCTTGATAACTTTTTCAATTGAACACACCTAATGTATACTTCAGGGGAATCCCTATACTTTTTTTTACTCGTTCAATGTTCAATATATTGTCAAAATGTAGTATCTCCATTCCTAACAGACTTATTTCTACGAAATTTTAAATATAAGTTGCCCACAAATTTCTGTCCCTATACTCAGCGGCATTTTTTTTAAACAGTTGATCATCATTATTATTTTAAAATTTTTGCTGAAATTTTTCATTGTGTATTTTTTAAAATTCATATCTCATTATTTTTGGAAATTTCGGAAGACGGTTGTCACCACTGTTTTTAGCTTATAAACTCTGTACGTTACATGGAAAACATTGTCGATTTCTTTTGGTAAAAATGAGATACAGGAAAAGCAGCTTGTTTTTGGTGTATCTCCTTTTCGACAAAAAAATAACGTATAGAATTCTGTAAGCTGAAAACAGTGGTATAAACTACTTTACGAAATTTCGATAAATAATAGACATACTGATTTTTAAAAATACGCGATGAAAAATTTCACCAAGATCCTAAAAAGAAGATGACGATAAAGTGTTCGAAATTTCATAACAATAAGTATGTTCTTTTAATAACGGAGGTATTACATCCTCTTAAGTAGAAACATGGAACGTAAATACAGAGTGTCTCACCTAAAACTGACTATTATCTTGAGAACGGATAGACATTAAGATTCTGTAAATGCCATTGTTTTTAAGTTGAAGCGAGGGGCTTAATAAAAAAATAAAATTTATATAGTAACATAAAAAATGAAAGTTGAATGAAATAAAGCACATGAACTTTATAATCAACAAGATCTGTTTCAAAAGGAGTTATTTTAGCATTTGTTCGAACTGTCGTAATATAGTGGTACCTAGTTCTTTATTTCACTTAACCTTCATTTTTTATGTCTATAAATTTTATTTTTTATAAAGTGAATATGAAATTAATATCCAAGTGTTTATATCATTGTGACCGTGATTTAAGAGTCTACCAGAATTCGTGAAAAAATATATATATATACATTGCAATTTATTTTCAGTGTACATTAAGGTTCTCTCTTCAAGCTCACAATAATGGTGTTTACAGAATTTCAATATCTCCATCCGTTCTCAAGATATCAGGCCATGAAGTCTTAGCTGAGACATTCTGTATGCTTAAGGCGTTAGCATTTTGTTTATTTTTTGTTCAAAGCACAAAAAATGCAAGTTATAGTAATTTGTAATTAAATCAAAATAAAATACATTTAAGTAATTGTAATTTTTAGATCTGAAATGTTTCTTTATATTTTGCTGGTTTTTCAAACAGCAAAATAGCATTCAAAGTAGTATTGATTGACCGTATGATTTTTTTTTTTAATTTGACGTAAGTGGAGACTATGAAAACAAAAGATATGAAAGACGTAAGACCTAGTTTACTTATTTTTAATGTAAATGCCACTCTCATTGTCACAAATTGAGGTTAAGCTACGCCCTACGTCTTCCACACCTTTTGTTTTCAGGGGTGCGATTTTGTTCCTCGATCGAAAAAAACTCGATAGCGATAAAATCTCGTTTGCTGATTGGTTGAGAGGCTGAGTTGGTGAGACATTTCTGTCACATTTCTCGATTCTGTCACGAAATCAAGTCTTCATGGAGTGATATTTTCTCGATAGCTCTGAATGAAGTGATAAATTTCGGAGACATAACCTCGAAATTTATGTCAAAATAGAAGTTCAAAATCGTAATTCTGAGTTATAAGTTCTTAAAACTAAGGTAATTGTAAACTTTTGAGCATTTAATAAGCTTATATGCAAAGAATAAATGCAAACTTTGCATTTAAAAGCTACGCAATGACATTTATCGCAAGTGATAATTTATCACTTCGATCAAGAAACAAAATCCCACCCCAGGTCTCTCCTTATTGCTTTAAATTTTTCCAGTATTGTTGGTTGCATGCGTCTTTTATTTTAAAGTGTGTACAAGTTGTATGTACAACTTCACTACGTCGGTATTTGTCAATCGTATGTGCCATCCCAAATTTTTAATGTGTTGCCAACCTGACAAAAAAAAACAAATATTAATAGTTACTCGGTATTTGTTGTACCTCCAGAGCTAACGATATTTTTAGCTTCAAGAGTTTAGTCAGCAAGAGAGTTGGGTTATTTCAGATTTTCTGGGTTTATCGAAAGTTTAAATTCAATTTGTAGAATCCAAGTTGATAAATTATTACCGAAGAAGTTCGCTTTCGGTAAAGTCTTTGACAAGATAAATATAGAAATGAGTGTTTCGTGTTTTACAGTTTCGCACTGCTTTTAACGACTCTAGAGTCATGAACAAAACTTAAACATAATTAATTTTCTAGCTTTTTCCCGATTTATTTGTGGCATTTGAGTGACAATTAAGAAAGTTTTGTAATTGTAATTTCCATGGCGTCTCGCAGTTGGAAAATGCACGTTTATGACTTTTATCTACGGTCGCTTTGTTCATCTTTCAATTGATTGTTAATTTGATTGTCCTAAAATGTAGTCAGTTTAATAAATATGTATAAAATAATACCAGTCACAGTGTAAGAAAAAATCTGGCCAGTGGAGCAGTTGCTAACAGTTAATATTACTATAAAATGTTGTAATGTAATGACTTTTTGAAAACAGTCGGTCTACTAGTTTCGGAGATTATCTGTTTAATAAAAGTGGACACTAATTACACAAGAGACAGACAGACGGAAATGGGAGATAGAGATTAGTTTAGATATTGTAGAGTAGAACATAAATAAAAATATATTTAAGCATCCAGTTATTTCAACCAGTTTATTGGAGATCTATGTTGAAAAATATGACCTGACATGTCATGTGATATTTGTTGTTTGTCTTCCTTCTAAAATACAATCAAAGCCATGCCTTCAGGAGTATTGTTCTTTCAATATTTTTAATATTGAATGATTCCTAAAATGATGTTAGTGTTAATTTTGAAGACGGTTGGTATTTTGAGTGAGATTCATTTAACAAATTTTGAATTCAAATGTTACAAGTTCTGCTGAATAAAATTATGTACATAGGTATAAGTCAGTAAGTACAATCTTGGTATGCGCTTGACTAACACAGTTGTATATAAGTACACATATATTTATGTATGATAATGCAACAAATTTACAATTTGTAAATTATCTTCACATTTTTTATGGCAAACTATATTTGTTTAACAAATAGGTAGTTATAAAGCACTAATCTCACGTATTCTTTAAGTAAACTTCCTTCACTTAAGCTGCTTTTGCTTCTATTTTTATAATTTGCTCATTTTTGTATCGCGCTTCAGACCGAATTGAATAGTTTCCAGTATTTCAATATTTTTTTGCTTGTTTCAGGACGTAATGTGCCCTGGCTGTGGAAGACTTTGGACGGCTCTGCAAGTAGTATGGAGTACGGTGTATGTGGTTTGTGGAGCTGCCCAACTAATTTCTGGGATATTTTTCATGATATCCATCCCGGCTCTTCACTTAAGCTGTAACATATGGACAGGATCGTGGGTGTGTACTTTTATTTCAATTACGTAAATCGACACATAAAACCACTCATTACGACATCGGAAAAGTAATTTGAACATTTTTTTTCAACAGCGTTTAATCTCTCAAATTTTTTATTCTGGCTTAATACTCGTGTGGTGGGCGAATTATTTCGAAAAGCTTATCTGAAGTTTAATTAAACTGGGTCAGATGAAATTAGTATTTGCAAAAGTGGTTCTATCTGTCCACGATTAATTAATGTACTGTTAGTGCAACAAAAATACACACTTCGTAGAAAGGGGGTGCTTGAAGGTAAACTTAATTAGTTTCCTGTAAACGTTTCATGTTTTACCAGAGATGAAACATTTTTGTGCTTTTCCAGTTAATGGAAGGAATCTTCCGTTGGTGAATCGTATAACTAAGTAGCTTGAAGGAAACTCGAAACTATCAAAATACTTATACAAGAAAGTGGAGCTTTTTGCAGATTTCAAAAATTCATCCCTAAAACTCAACTTACCAAACACTCTATGACGTATCGTTTGCGTAGCTCGATTGCTTACAGTCATTTGGACCATAATCGGTCAATTATTTCATCGATGATTAAAATGCTACCACTTTAAGATATTGTTACCGTTATTACTCTAAGGAATAAACAATTAATCGTGATACACTTTTGTAGCACGCCACGAACTAGCCTAAGGTCCGCATTTTTTCATCACTATGTACATAATGCAAATTTCTCAGCTTCCTTGCTGTACGGTTTCCACAACCGGTTAATAAAAACCAAATTTTATTGTTCGCTTTTGCGTCATTATACTCAAAATTACACGATTCTGTCCAGCTTATCGTTCCAATTTTTTTTCGTTTTATATAATTGGATTGAAAGTGAGATTGATTAAATGGGTTTTTCAACATGGAATGTAACCGTGGGTTGCAGATTTTGAGATATGAAGGTTTTTTTTTAATCTTCATTTCATTACGCAGTCGAGAGCTTTTGTTTTATCCCAAACGGAAAGCACCAATAAAACAGCAGTCAAGAAATTTACAGTAACAATACCTTCGAGATTCTTGCAACACTACAATAAAAAAAGTTAATACCGGATCAGACTCCGGTTGTTTCCAGACGATCGATCTTCTTTATCGTCTGTTTGATTCCCAATCGTCCGTAATAGACGTAGATAGTTTGGCGATCGTTAAAAGTTGCCCTGGTTTTTTGCTGGTACGGTGTTGTCAAACAATTAAATTACGTTTAGCATGATAATGGTACAGTTAGCGTCACAAGCAATGGACAAATTCTCTCTTTTGCTTTTATGTCTTCATGGCGGAGACTTTTCTGCCGGAAACCGGGATTTTCTTATCAGTGTACACGCGTGTATGGCAATAAAGAGCTTTTACGAGCTCAGAGCTTTCTTTCGTCCGCTGTTAAAAGTGAAGTAGGAAACCACAGAAAAATGGTTTAATAAAATCGAGGGATTTGGACGACCACTTTGACTCGAATGTGGGGTTTGCATACCAATTAAGCCAGTTATTTAACCGTGCAGGACCTTTTAAAATTTTCGTTCGTTGTGGAATTTGAATCGAGAGAAACTTAACGCAAACAACAAATAAACTAAATTTAAACCGGTGTACGTGCCCAATTTTCAAACTGAATATTTGCAAACTGCGTTTTTAATGGAGTTATAGTCGTTTTCCATATTGCAGAAATCTGATCAATACATTGGTTGATTATTTTAGTGGTTTTCCTATTGTGTATTGATAGGTATTAAAACATTTGTGTTTCTGCATTTAGCGAACATATTGATACAGGAGTAGAATATCTAGCTTAACATTTTATTTGTTTGATACTTATTATAATAAGTTTACAATTTATCTGCCACCCTTGTGATGCAAGGTGCATTTTTTTCCAGAACTATTAGACGTGTTATCTGAAACTACATTCTAGCACACTTGGACAAACATAAATCCGGTAATAATGAGTAAATAAACAAGTAAATAAGTATAACTATCTTCAAAGGATGATAAATCCCAATTACAGGTATTTATAACTTCTAGAAAATTATACAGCATTATTTAGTGCTTACGGCTACTTAATTAAATATATTATGTGAAAGTGATAAAGTTAAATCTAATCAACAAGTCGGAATGGTTGAAGTCAGAAAAATTTTCCATAAAAACTAAGATTTGAGAAAACTTGTCAGTACAGTCTCGAAATTGAGACAAAACTGAATGGTAAATAAGGGCTACATATTCGAATCTGGATCTGACAAGAGAACAGAATAACATCTTTAAAGCCTATTTATTTATTATTATTTATTTAATTTTGCAATCATATCAGCATTTGGTCCCTGCATAAAAACACATCCATAAACTCATTTATGAAGGACAGAAATAAAACAGGCCTAGATTTGACCCATGAGGTGCCTGCACATGAAACAAAGGACTTCGGAAGAAAATTTGTTATTTTAACAGATATTTTAACTTAGAACGATGATTTATTAATAGACTACTTCAATCATAAACCAAGTAAGAAAATACTAACGATGATCGACGAAAGGGAATAGAAACCGCTAAATCAAGCAGTAAGGAGGAAGATGTTTTAAAGAAAAGCAGAAAAGTAGGGAAGTCACCAAGGATCAATCAAAACTAGAAGAAAATGTGCAATGGGAGAGAAAAATAAACGAGAATTGAGAAAAAATTAAGACAGCTCTTCAGCAAATAGGAGAGTAGATGATGTAGAAAATGAAAAACAAATGAATAATATTGTCCTCTGGACTAGAAATAGATATAAAATATGAAGAGAAATGTTAAAGAATGAGATAGAAAATTTTATGAACAAAGTATTAAATGTAAAGGTACGAATTACAAGTACCTTAAAAAAGGAGAAAAAGCATGTCTGGTAAAACAGACATAAACAAATCCGGGATAGAGCAAATAAAGAATGAAATAAGGGAGAAGCAGTTAATATGGGATAGAGGAAACTGTACATAAGAACGGGAGAATGGAAATGGACAGAAAGAAAGAGACACTGAAGAAAATAAACAAAATTAAGGTTTTAAAAAATTCATAAAAACAAACACAAATAGTAACAATAACCATTATAAACCTGACCAGGTGAAGAAAGTGGAAGGGACTATAATAATAAAGAACCATATATTTATGAATAGTGGAGCGGACGATAAAAGATTAGGGGCAGTGGAGCTTAAAGTATTCTTAGAAAGAATGTACCGTATGAGAATAAGAGGCAAGTATCAAAAAATATCATGAATAACGGGTGATCAAAAAGTTTTCAGGTTAGAGTTGGCTATGGAAATAATTGTTATGTCTTTGATTAAACTGTAAAAATCATATATAACCTTTTTTTAAAGACATAACAAATATTTCCATGGCCAACTCTAATCAGAAAACTTTTTGAACACTCTTTACATATGCGTCTACTGAAAAAGCCACAATAGACACAAACGAAGAGTTCTATAGCAAATTAGATGACAAAATGTTTAAAAATACTGAAGTACGATATTTAGTTAGTCATAGGAGATACCAATGCTAAGATTAGTAAAGACAATATATTGAGGGCAACCATAGAAAAACATAGTAAACACGAAGACAGAAATGAAGACGGGCAAATTCTTATAGACTTTCCAAAAGATAAAGTAATGATTATTAAGAGCACTTATTTTGAGAAAAAAAGAAATATAAATAGATAGATAGGAATAGAAGAAAAAGATAGATAAATATAATCAGTTAAGATTAAGGGACGAAGAAAAGAGAAAGAGATCTTGAAATAAGTTGAACGCAAATTGTGAAACCGTTAATATTGAGAAAGATAAAAAAGTCATGGGCAGCTGTGAGATATAAAATTTTTCAAATATCAAGTGCTTTAAAGAAAAAAAACGAATTCGATAATGAACGATAAGGAAAGGAAAAATGCAAAAAAAATCATACGACAAAAGAAAAAAAAAGACACATTGAGAATGTAATACGAGAATTTGAAGAAAACTATAGGAATAAAGAAATAATAAAACTGTACAGGGATTAAACAAGGGAAGAAAAGGGTGTCAGCCCAAAATGACAATATTTAAAAAGAAAATAGAAGAACTAGTAGGAAGAGAATAAGAAATTTTAAAACTGTGGAAAAACTATTTCAAAGAACTATTGAATGGAGCAGAAAACCAATATGATGAGGAAGAAAAGGGTGAACAAAATATACAAGAAATTGTAGAAGAAATAGACGGAAACCCTACAACACTAACGGAAATTGAAAAAATTATTATAAAACTGAAAAAGGACAAAAGCCCTGGACAAGATATGGTGAAATCAGAATTACTGAAGTTTGAAGGTGGCGAGCTGGTCAGACTTACACAAAGAGTTAATGGATGAAATAGTAGAAATAATACCCATATACAAAAATTGGTCGAAGGTTATTCCGAGAGAATTTCTCTCGCTCTTAAAGTACAGTCCCGCACATCCCGCGTCTTTGAAAAATTATACAATTTGGTTTTGCACAGACAGACAAACAGATAGACGACAGACAGACGGAAACAGGGGACCACATTTTTCGTACTTCAGGGGTCATGAAACGTCGAGACAATACGAAAATAGCAATTCACTCGAAGAGAAAGAATAGACTGCTCTAATTATAGGGAGATAGCACTATTGAATCTCAAGTACAAGGTGTTGGCGACGGCAATCGAGAATAAAATAAAACCAAAGATGGAAAGAATAAATGGGGGAATATCAGAGTGGATTTAGGAGTGGAAGATCAGTAGTGGACCAAATATTCACCATACCGGAAATTCAAGCTGAAAGTCAGGAGTAGAAACTTGCGACGTTTGTAGCTTTTATTGACTTCCGGCTAGTAAAATAAAACGGGGTGCGCTACACAGAGGAATTACAGAATTGGGGGTTAAGGTAAAATTGCTGAGATTAACAAAAACAAACAGATGCACGGCGTTGAGTAAGTCAGCATCGCTGGCGGTATCGGGCGGCGTTCCATAAAGGCAAGTCTGGAGTGGCTTACCGGAAGT